GTAATACTAAGGAGGAGTGGTAGTGTCCACATAGACATTTGGGTGAGACTGGCCCTGACTTATGGAGACTTGTATTTTCCTGTTCTTATCCCCTCTGGTAGACAATTCCTTTCTCTCTTCCCCATGGATCATGTTTTGGATGCATTTCTATTTCTCTTCAACTACACTTTGACTCTCCCCTTAAGGAATATCTCATAGAACCCTCCTACTCACCATGTCCACGTGAAGGTAAATATTCATTCAACCCTCTGTCCAAACCTACAGAGCCTCTTGCATACTCCAACTCCATAAATATGTTTACCATACCCAGAGTCATCTAGAATATTCTGATAGTCACTTTTCTGTCTTTGTTCTTCTTCCACATAAGCCTCAGCCATCATGTTATTCTTGTTATTCATGTGGAATCTTGACTCAATTTATGTCCTCCTATCATCCACAATAACCCCCGCCTTTGTGAGTTGGAATCTCACTGTGTCACCCAGGCTGGAGTGCAGTGACATGTCACTGCCAACACAGTCTTGACTGGCTGGGTTTAGGTGATCCTTCTGCCTCAACCTTCCAAGCAGCTGGAACTACAGATGCACACCACCACGCCTGGGTAGTTTTTGTGATTTATTGTAGTCACAAGATCCCACCAAGTTGCCTAGGTTGGTCTCAAGCTCCGTAGCTCAGGCAATCCTCTCATTTCAGCCTCCCAAAGTGCTGTGATTACTGGCTGAGCCACCATACCCGGCCTCATAATATCCTCTGCCTTTAGTGAGTGGGAGCTCTGCAGAAGTCACAGTTTACTTCCTGTGAAAGTTTCAGTGTTGAAACACAGACTGGACATGATGGTTGGATGCCCACCCACCCACGACAGCCCGTTAATTAGTTTGAACTTGGGGTCTGTCTTCTCATCCCTCTGTGAAGCAGAGGCAGGCTGGAAATCATTATGATTCTGAAATTCAGCAGCCATCTCTGCCACCTCCATGCACAAGGATAGTGAGTCATAGTTCTATTATTATCACTTGTACATTTAGGATTAGGATAAGCTTTGAATTTTACTGTTATAATTGTCCCAAATCATCTTTTCACTGGTGTGTTATTAATTTGCTATTAATTCATTTTCTAATGAAACATTGGTGACAAACGACTAAAAAATTAATAATTTTACTTCTAATAATGTATTCCCCTAATTCGTCTTTCAATTGGCATGTTGCCAATTTATTTTTCATTACCAAACATTTTTAAATCACGCATTGGTGACAAGTGACTCAGTAATTGATTATTTTTCTACTGTTAATAAAACCCACCGATTAGCTATTACTGATGTATTATTAATTTATTATATATTTAAAAACTTACTTAAATTAAACATTGAAAACTAGGGAATACATTGTGTATTATTTATAATGTGTATATTTTTATGTAAATATTTATCAACATTATTTTGCCTGCTGAAGCACAGTGGCAAAAATGTTGGCGATTTGAATCAACAGTGAGAATGCTGTGGTTTATATGTCAATGAGACATTTTATTTGGGAAACTTATTTTGTTTCTCCCAAAAATTAGGGCAAAAAATTCTGATGTGCATTGTTTTTCTTAAAAGGAACAATTAGGCAATATATATAAACAGGTATTTCTCAAAAGCAGACCTATGAGCACCCAACAGACATAAGAAAAAAAGCTCAGCCTCATTCATCATCAGAGAAATGCAACTCAAAACCACCTTGAGATACCACCTATCCCCAGTAGGAATGCCATCATTAATTTTAAAAAAAAGCAGATGCTGGCAAGGATGTGGAGAAAATGGAACACTTCTACACTGTTGGTGGGAATGCAAACTTGTTCAACCTCTGTGGAAAACAATGGGGTAATTCTTAAGAGAACTAGAAATTGACCTTCCATACAAACCAGCAATCCCCCTTCTGGGAATATACCCACAGGCATTTATCATTCAACAAGCAAGGTACATGCACACACATATTTATTGCAGCATTTTTCAGATAGCAAAAACATGGTATCAAACATGCTTCCCATAGAAACTAGACTGGATAAAAAAGGTACATATACATGATGGAATGTGATGATGTCATAAAGAAGGACAAAATTATGGACTTCACAGCAACTTGCATGGCTTTACACTCTATAATACTGAGTGATCTATCACAGTAACAAATAACTGAGTATCACATGCTCTCACTCATAAGTGGAACGCTTATCATAATGCTATAAGAAAGGAATTGTCCATAGCTGGAAATTGCCAGACAGGCGGGACACATAACATCAATAAAGGTACCTGATTTCAAACCAGGTGAAGTGGGGACAAAAGGAAGGTCCAAATTTTACCTGTACGATTACCAGTTGTATACCTAATTCTGAATTTTACCCCATATCTTTAAAATAAAAAAGGAAAAATTATTTAATTAAGCATGGAGATACATTGAATGTGTTGTTAACATCCTTGTATAACCGATTTGAAATGTAGGATTAGCCACTTGAACAAAAGCCCTGAACACTATTGAACTTACCATTTACGTAAATATTCTGTGCCTTCTGGATATCCTAGAACCACTGTGTACCATGAATCTGCCAATAAGTGTGGAGGTATCTGGAAGTTGGGTGATTAATGGCCATCTGGATTGGGTCCTTGAACCCACCCTGAAGTTATTTCACTCGTCCTGGAATTATCGGGGGTTGCAGACATACCTAGCAACTGGTGCTGATTTTCTGACTTATGCAGTAATGAAAGGTACTGGAAATGCCTCTTCCCACCAGAACAGTGAAACAGAAATAATTCCACATCCTGGAAGGATTGCAGAGTTCAGTGCCTCCACCAGGACTTCCACATTCTTATTCCATTCGCCCATGTGGCTTTTGCAAAAGTCAGATGAATCCAAGATGACAGTGGGGAGTCTGACTTCAGTGCCTGCTTCCAGTGAGCCGTACTCTGGATGCAAGGCGACCTGCAGATATTCTCTAGTAATGAAGGCAGAAGATTGTGCAGAAGGTTGTTTTCTGTGTTCTATTTGTAAAGACTCTCAGGGTTAGCTGTACATATCCGTGGTCCTACTTCACATCAACTCTCAATTCCTCTGTCAGCAGAGACCAGGATCACTCCTTCACTGGCCACAACATTATATAGGTCTTTTCCATTGATGATATGCCAGTTGGACCTGTTAGACAGGAAGTAACCACTATGCTAAGCAGTGTTTGAGACCCGTGTCACAAACACAATGTTGGAAATATCCTCTAAATTCAGTTTGCTGCCAACTTGTAAGATTTCTAGGAGTTCAATTGTCTGAGGCATTTTGAGATATCCAACTTAAAATAAAGACAAGTTGCTACATCTGAAGATACATTCAATATATCTTCTCACTTACTCATAGCAAATAACTCAATGCCAAGTGCGGATCTTTTGGATTTGGAGATGTAATATACCTCCCTGGTTATAGAATCTCAACCCATTTATTAGTTACCTGGAAAGGCTGCAGTTGCTGAGTGAAGTTTAAACAAAAGAAGTCTTTGCAACAGGTGAGGTTTCAGACAAGCAGGGCTGTAGAACCCAGGAAACACAATGATGTTTGACACACCTGCAGCTGACAAGGTTGTTACACAGAGTCTCTGACAGGAAGCTATAGACGAATTCTAGCACAGATATTTAAGATTTTGGGCATGCACTGTGCTACATCTGCAGAGAATAATCCTCAATTTATGATGCAGTTTTTATGCTGCTGATGTACTCCAGGAGAGATGGAAAGCTTGTGAATGAGAGGGCAGGTCACCATGGGATGTGAGCTGCCTGCCATGAACTTGATGTGGACTGACTGAACAAACCTTCAGCTGAACATGACCAATTGCTCCCCATCATTACATAGAAGAGGTTTATAAAAATGTGGCCACTAATTTGTAGTGATTTTTTAACTTAAAATATATTTATTTATTAAATTTTACATTCAGGGGTACACATGCATGTTTGTTTCATGTACATATTGTGTCGTGGTGACCCATTCCCCAGATAGTGAGCATTGTACCCAATGGATAGTTTCTGAATTCTAGCTCCCTCATTGGAGATCCTAGTGTCTATTATTTGCATCTTTCTGACCATGTAGTTCCCACACATGAGTGAGAATATACATTGTTAGGTTTTCTGTTTCTGAGTCAATTCACTTAAGATGAAGATTTCCAGCTCCATCTATGAATCTCTCTCTCTCTCTCTCTCTCTCTCTCTCTCTCTCTCTCTCTCCCCCTACCTACCTGCCTATAGATAGATAATCCAATGCCAAGTGGGCATCTTTTGGATTTGGAGACATAAGACACCTCCCTGTTTATGGTAGGAGCCTATGAGAAACCTATGGATAGATAGATAGATAGAGAAAGAGAGGGAGAGGGAGAGAGAGAAAAGGCTACCCATACTCATATGTAGTAGTTTTCTATACCAGCAATAGAAAGCTACTGTGACAGATAGCTCCTGTATGTTACTTTGAACTCTGAAAACTCAGGGTTTAATCTACTTGTTCAGTGATGTTTCCCCAGGGTAAGGCACATGGCAAATACTCCATAAATATGTGCTGATGATTTGGTAAGAAAGGAGTTAAGACAAGGCAGATAACACCTGGGGGCACAAGAGACTCCGTTTCTTTCTGAAATATCTCCAAAGAGTCTGGTGACCAACCAGGCACCAGTCCTGGGGAAATGAGAGACAGAATTCTAGAAAGGGCAGTTCCCCTTCTTGTGAAACTGTTGACATAAAAACCCCATGACAGGAAGGACCCAAGCTCTGAGTGGTCACACCCTGTGTGTCTGTCTGTTTTTCAGATAATGTTAATCTCATTCATCTGCACAACCAGCACCAGGACGAGGAGACGCCATGATGTCAACCCTCGCAGCACTGCTCTGCTTTGGTGAGAATTGAAGAGGGGGTGGGGACACCCTAGTCTTGGAGGAACCTCACCCCACAGCCATACCCTGGTCTATGAGGAGGCCCCAGGGGATCAAAAGGCTCCTAGGATGGAGGGGACATGCTCAGGTTTCAGGGGACAAATCTCTCACATGAAATTCTTTCAGGTTTGAGCCTGGGCCCCAGGACGCGAGGGCAGGCAGGTGAGTCTGTTCCCAGCTTTCCCAGGTTCCTCATCCTCATTGGGGACAAGGGATAACACCCTAAGCAAGTGGAGATGAAGAAGAGCAGTTCTGTCCTGACCAATAGGTATATCTGGAGAGTACTGGGTTTGAGAGATGGGATCTGAGGGGTGGGTCTGTCGTGGAATCCAGGCTCTGCTTTCCTTCCAGGGATTCTCCCAAAGCCCATCCTCTGGGTTATACCAAGCCCTGTGATTTCCTGGGGAAGCTCTGGGGCCATATGGTGTCAGGGGACCCTGGAAGCTCAGGAGTATCACCTGAATAAAGTTGGAAGCTCAATACCCTGGGACAAACAGAAGCCACTGGAGTCTGGGAGCAAAGCCAAGTTCAACATCCCACAAATGACAGGTGACTATGCAGGACAATATCGCTGTCGTTATCACCACTCAGCTGGCTGGTCAAATCTCAGTGAGCTCCTGGAACTTGTGGTGTCAGGTGAGAGAACACTCTGGGGCCCCAGTCCCAGGCTCTGACCACAGGAATGGGGTCAGTTCTCAGGGATGCCTCTCCCCTACCACAGCCCAGTCCCAGGGTATCGTGTGGGTGGTGTAAGCTCCATTTGACATGGTGCCTCCTTTGCTCCTAGGGGCCTATGAGAAACCTCACCTCTCAGCTCTACCCAGCCCTGTTGGGAGCTCAGGAGGGAATGTGACCCTCCTGTGTGGCTCACAGCTGGGATTTGGAAGGTTCATTCTCACCGAGGAAGGAGAACACAAGCTCTCCTGGACCCTGGACTCACAGGAACTCACAAATGGGCAGTTCCAGGCCCTTTTCCCTGTGGGACCCATAACCCCTGGTCACAGGTGGACGTTCAGATGCTATGGCTACTTCAGAAACAATCCTCTAATGTGGTCACACCCTAGTTCCCCCCTGAAACTGGTGGGTTCAGGTGAGGAGCCCTCATCCTGTTCTCTCCTGCCCTCTAGAGAGTTGTGGGCTGGGGTAGAGTGAGGAGTCTCTGAGGGAACCAGCATGGAGGATTACCCCTGGAAAGAAGGGGACAACATAGGCCTTCTCATTCATGTTCTGCCATTCTTCTTCACCTGGAGACCAGAGAATTCCACGTGGGTGGATGGAGAAGCCACAGGACATATGTAGGATACTGAGCAGACATGGATTATCTAGGGTAATGTTCAGTCCCTCATACTTCTCTTGTCTTTGTTTTTGAATCCCCAGGTGGCCACAGCTCCCCACCCACAGGGCTGGTCTTAACAACTGGTGAGTCTCCTGGCCTCTATCCACAGAGTTTCCAATTCCTCCAAGTCTATCTTAAAAGACTCTCAGCTGGTCTAACTTAATTCCAATTATCAGTTCAGTTCACGTCCAGGGAGTTGGGATCTGAGCAGAGACACGATCTCAGGACCATAGGTTCCCAACAGCTCTGAGACTGGGTTGGTGAAGGGAGGGGGCCTTAAGGCAGGTGGCATGCTGGAGTCCAGCCTGGCGGGGAGCATCCAGACTGAAGTAGGGAAAAGGCAAACCACATCAGCCTGTCTCCTTCCTATCTTGACCCAGGAGGCCCTGAGGATAAGACCTTCCCCCCCATGGGATCAGGCACCCAGGAAGGTGAGTGAGGAGCTGTGTATGAGCAAGGGGAGAAGGACCCATGGAGAAAGCAGTGCTGAGTCATATTCAGGCTACACTGGAGATGGTGATGTGGACTAGTCCCTCCCTGTCTGGGCTTCAGTTCTCCAAAGGGAAAGGAGAGATACCTGCCCAGATGGTAAAGTTCCTTTAGGTTCTGACCTTGTCCGTGACCTCCAGGGTGAGGAGGCCTCCAGGTAAGCCTCCCAGGACCCTATTATGCAGGGGGCCTGTCCCACCTGCAGTTGTGATGGTGACATTGTGTGAGGGGGTGGACAGTTGAAGAGCATTGGTGTGGGTTATTCAGGCTCTTCCTATTCAGCTCAGGGGCTCAACTTTGGTGGAGAGAGCAAGGGCTGCAAATCAGATGAGACCAGGGACACTACCCAGCTTTTCTGCTTTCTGGCTGAGGGGCCTGGGACAGATGATTCACCTCTCTGAGGTTCAATGTCATCATCTTTGAAATGGGTGGGGTAGTACAGTTGTTGTTAGGTTGGGGGTGATGAATGAAATACCAAGCAGGTGCCTGCATACAGTAGACCCTCAATTAAATGTCAACTCCCCTCTTTCCTGATATCATCATGCCCAAGGCCTGGAAATATTCCTGAAGATTCTGAAAGGGGTCGCGGTGGCCTTGGTCCTGCTGCTGTTCCTTCTCCTCTTCCTCCTTCTTCGACATTGGCGCCAGGGCAAACAGAGATTATCAGGTGAGTAGGGAATGGTGGGACCTACGAGAAGACCACAGGTGGACTCAGGGCACCACCAAATGGAGACCAGACAAATGGGGAAGTTCAGTTAGAAAATACTGCTCCAGAATTTCTAATAAAAAAGTTTAGAAATAAAGCACAAAATGTCAGGCACATGTACACATTTAAAGTGTTCTTTGACATTTTTCGATCTCATAAAATACTAGGACCATCCTTGCAGGATTGTTTCTTTCTTTTTTAAATTTAATTTTTTTTCTAGTGATATGGGGTACAATTCAGGGTTAGGTATGCAAATTTTCATTGTGCAGGTACCCTTGTCTATGAGGTGTGCCCCAGGCAGATTCCCACTACTGTCAATCATTTTCTTATAGTATTACAATAGTTGTTCAAGTCCCACTTATGAGTGAGAACATGTGATACTCAGTTCTTTGTTTCTGTGAAAGATAGCTAAGTTTTGTAGACTCCAAGTTCATCCAGATTGCTGTGAAGTTCATGATTTTGTTCTTATTTATGACTGCATAATATTCCATCATGTATATGTGCCACATTTTTTTACCCAGTGCTCTTTAGATGGGCAGTGTGGTTGGTTCTATATTACTGCTATTGTGAACAATGCTGCAACAAACATACGGGTGCAGTTATCATTTGTATAGAGTGATTTGAGTTCCTCTAGGTATATTCCAAGAAAGAGGATTGTGGGGTCATATGGAAGGTCGATTTTTAGATCTTTTAGGAATCACCACATTGTTTTCCACAGTGATTGTGTTCCCTTTTTGCCACAACCTCTCCAGGACCTGTTGTTTTTTGAGTTATTGATGATGCCCCTCCTGACTGGAGTTAGATGGTATCTCAGTGTGGTTTTAATTTGCATTTATTTGATGACTAGTGAGGATGAGCACTTTTTCATGTATTTGTTGGCTGCTCATATGTCTTCTTTTGAAAACTGTCTTTTCATATCTTTTGCCCCCTCATAATGAGGTTGTTTTTTTTTTCTTTTCACACTTTTGAATTCCTTGTAGGTCTTCGATGTCAGGCCTTTGTCAGACATACATTTGAGCAAATATTTTTTCCCAGTCTGTGGACTGTCTCCCTGCTCTCTTAATGATTTTGTTTGTCTTCATGCAGGAGTGTTTCAAGGCTCCCTCTCTCTTCTAGAGTTTGTGTGCAGGAAGTGGTTCTTATATCCCAGGGCTGAGGCTTTGTCCTTCTCTACCAACCCAGAGATAGGATGATGTCCAAAATCCTGTGGGGGCTGTATAGCCATAGCCTGAGGTTCGAGGCCTGCAGAGGAGGTGATTCTGCCCAGAGACCCCAGAATCCCTCCTGCCCATGGTCCTCTCACTACTTCTCACACTCCTGTGCTTTACCCCATGTCCAGCCCAACTGTTGACTTCTAGGAAGAACAAAGCTGTGAGAGAAAGGAGAGATGGCCACTTGGGAGAGATAATGGGTTTCAATGTTTTCAGTAGCATCAGGGTAAAGGCACAGTCTGGAAAAGACCCTGGGCTCAGAGGAGATTATCTGAACCTCCTGCTATAGCCTCAGACAGTAGCCACATCTGTGCCAGAGCCAGAGTCTGTGGCCCTGAGAGTTCCCAAGGATTCTTCCCAGGACATGAGATCCTTGTCCTGCCCCTGCAGATGCTGCCCTGAAGGACACACAGCCTGAGGACAGGGCAGAGCTGCACAATCAGGTGAGACCCTGCCCCTGCCCAGGGTATTACAGGCTTCCTGTTTCAGATTTAACCCTAGTATTCTTCTCTGTCTCCCCTCACTTGGCTCTCTGTCTCATTTCTTCATGCATCCTCCCTCCTCAAGCAATGTCTGCTGCCTGCTGAACTCTCTATCCTGGTTTCCTGGGACCTGACCCCTCCTTCTGTCCCCTTTCTGGCTCCTCGTCCTCTGTCTGATCCTCTGGTTGTTAGTGTGCTCCCAGCCTTCAGAAGGATGCAGGAATAAATGAACAACCCACATTCCTGGGCTTCCTTCATTCATTCATCCAGCAAATGTCCACAGGTATCTCACTCTTGACCATCTCCATGTTGGCGCTGCAGACACAGCTGTAGCCAGAGCTAACCCACCCTCCTGAGCTTACCTCGTGGGTGACAGACCACATGCAAATAAATGCATGGTGTCCAGTGGGCAACATGCTGTAAAAAAATTAAGCAAGGAAGTATATGGAGTGTGGGGAATAGGATCAGTTTGAGTGACAAGTGAGGGCTGTCTGATAAGGTATCATCTAAGAAGAAGACAGAATGGGGAGGACCATGCACACATTTAGGGGATGGACAGCTGCAGGCAGAGGAGGCAGCATGTGCAAAAGCTCTGAGGCAGCAACAAGCTTTTTCAGAAAAATGAACCATGTGACTGGAGCTAAATAGGCAAGGTTAGAGTGTGGATATGAGAGGTCAGAACTGCAAGAAGGAAGCAGCCAGATGCTCTGAGGCTTTAGGAAGTCTCTGCAGAGTCCATTATGAAAATGATATAATCAGATCACTCCGGGAACATGTGGAAACAACAGAGAGAAGTCAAGTGAAATCAAAGAGACCCTCCTGTCACTCTCTCAGCAGAGCCAACATGATGAGGAATCTCAGGGAGTGACATATGCCCAGGTGAACCTCTCCAGACTCAAAAAGGTAACAGCCTCCTATTTACACCTGAAAGGGGAATTCCTGAACACAAAGGACAGACAAGTAGAAAATAATGGACAGAGGGGCAATCAAGTGAGTCCTGTCCTCTCCAGACACCTCCCCCAACTATGAACCTTCCCTTTCATTCTTCCCCCACTACAGGCTGCTTCATCTGAAGACTCCCACAATGTGATCTATGCACAGCTGCACAGCTTGCCCCTCAGAAGGGAGACGAGTGAACCTCCTCTGTCCCAGAAAGGGAGCCCTCCAGCTAAGTCCAGCACATATGCCACTCTGGCCATCCGCTAGCCCAGGGAGGACCCAGACACCACACTCTGGAGGAAGTGGAGGAGGATTCAGGGACCCCAGGAGTCAAAGGAGCGGCCCCTGCAGGACACTAAATAATAAACCCAGCAAGTGTGGAGTCTTCATATAAATCGTGAGATTCTGGGAATTTTTAATTCTCACCTGACTTTTCAAAGATACATAATATCTCTACATTTTATAAATAAAGCATCAGACATCTCTACAATCAATGACTTAATTGAGAAAACAAAATAGAAGTGAGAAACTGTTTTAATTGAATGATGTAGATATTACAATCAAGTCTATTAAATGGAAAAATGGAAACGTCTAGTGCGGATAAACAATAAATAGTTCGGTGGCTCAGTCTGTAATCCCAGCACTTTGGGAGGCCAAGGTGAGTGAATTGCCTGAGCCTGCGGGTTTGAGACCCGCCTGGGCAACTTGGTGAGACCTCATCTCTACAATAAATCAAAAAATTAGACAGACATGGTATCAGTGCCTGTAGTTCCGGCTACTTGGAAGGCTGAGGTGGAAGGATCGCCGGAGCCCAGCAGGTCGAGGCTGCAGTGGCCGGGAGCATGCCACTGCACTCCAGTCTGGGCAACACAGTGAGACTTCAACTCAAAAAAAAAAGAAAAATTAATTAGTCATTAATTTTATAAGACATTAGAAATATTTATAAATTGTAGCCACAATGAGCAAGGAATAAAAAAAGAACAGACATTTTCACATAGGAATAAAATAGGAAGCAGCACTACAGACACTATGCACAGTTCAGAAATCTAGTAACAGAACATTCTGCTCCATTCTGTGCCATTATGTTAGCAAATGGAGAGAAATCATAATATTCAAAACCATGGCACACATTGTGGGCATACAAATAAATATAAAATCTTAATTATATTTCATATATACTAAATACATTGATTCAGCCATCAAAAATGTCTCCACACCATAAATTTTAGTTCAGAAAGCATTGGTAGTGAATTCTTTCAGACACTTATTTGCTTTAGAAAAGCACACACAAGCTGGGCTCGGTGGCTCAGCCTGTAATCCCAGCACTTTGGGAGGCTGAGGTGAGTGGATTGCCTGAGCCCACGGGTTCGAGACCCGCCTGGGCAACTTGGTGAGACCTCATCTCTACAATAAAATAAAAAATTAACTGGGCATGGTAGCGCACGCCTGTAGTTCCAGCTACTTGGAAGGCTGAAGCAGAGGGATCGCCGGCGCCCAGCAGGTCGAGGCTGCGGTGGCCGGGAGCAGCCACTGCACTCCAGTCTGGGTGACAGAGTGAGACTCTAACTCAAAAAAAAAAAAAAGAAAGAAAAGCACACACATACACAATAAACTTACATATGATTTCCCTGATAATAGAAGGTAAATGCATATACCCAAATGCACATTTTTTCAGATTAAGGGAATAGTGATACCAAAACTTTACAAGGAAGCTAAAAAATGGGAAAGTCTTAGATAACCTCTTACATGACCTGAAAATAAATCCCTTAACATATATTAGCAAATAATGTTAATTTTCATATAAAATAAAAAAATACATCATTAACACACTACTTTTAATTTTGTATTTCAGTTTATGTAAGGAGAGGGTATGTTAATTTTTTTGACATCAGCTAAAGTAAAATTTGCAATCAGCTAGTAAAAACAGTAGCAATTTTTTCCTGGATACATTGGGATGTTGGGAAATAAGAAAATGAAGTATGAAGGCAATTAATGAATAAATGATACTATTTCTTAAAATAATCACATACATACAAGAAGGGAACAATGTCTTGTGGGAATCTATTCTCACAAGACACTGTTCCCTTCTTGGAGGATCATTGTTCTGAAAGATGTTACAATTCTTGTATGAATTGCTCCTGGAATAATATTGTATTTCTTTATTGCCAGAGAGGGCAGTGGATCAAACTAAGTAGGTATCAGAGGTTTATGTGTAGATTTTTCACATTTGTACAAATTGCAGATGTTAAGTAATTGATTTCTTTATGGATTTAAAGGCTATAAAAGCTTTCATCGAAAAATAGGCATTCATATTAACATGATGGGAAAAAAAAAATCAACCATGATAATTCCTAAAAGAAATTATAAATTTTTCAGAAGAAATTCTAGCAGAAGGTAGGAAATGTATAGTAAATGACTGGAGGTGAGCACTGAGAAAACACATTTTTGTTCAGAAACTCACTCCTGAAAAACACTCATGAACCCAAATGTGTATGTAGAAGTTTAAACACAATATGGAAAACATGGTGTTTAGTTCCTCACAGTAAGCTATTGCAGCATCATGTTTTCCCTTTTTTATTTTTTATTTATGCAAATTATGTATCTGACAAAGACCTAACATCCAGGATTTATGAAGGAACCCAAATGAAGTGAAAGGAAGAAGACTAACAATCCCATTAAAAAGTGGGTATAGTACATAACAGACATTTCTCAAAACACAACATAGAAGCAGCCAACAGACACATGAAAAAATTATCAGCCTCACTATCACAGAAATGCAAATCAAAACTACAGGGAGATACCACTTGACACCCATAAGGATGGCTATTATTTATAAGTCAAAAAACAACAGATGTTTGTGTGGGTGTGTTGAAAAGGGACACTTCTACACTTCTACACAGTGCAAGTGGAAATGTCCATAGTGCAACTTCTATGGAAAGCAGTGTGGCGATATATTTTATTCTTTTCCCTGTACTTTTGTGAAGAACGTTGTTCTTTTTTCCTTTTCTTCTGTGTTTAGTACTTTCTTAAGTGTTTCATGTAGAGATGGTTTTGTGGCTGCATAAGTTCTTAGGGATTGGATATCTGGGAAAAATTTCAATTCTCCCTCACTGATGAAGCTTAGCTTGGCCGGGTAGGTTATTCTTGGTTGAAATTGTTTATCTTTTAGGACTCTGAAGATAGGGCTCCAAGCTTTCCTAGCCTCCAGGGTTTCTGTAGATAAATCTGCTGCTATTCTGATTGGTCTTCCATGGTAGGTGATCTGGCCTTTTTCTCTTGCTGCCTTTAGGATTTTTTCTTTTGTGCCTACTTTATTTAGGCGAATTATTATGTGTCTAGGAGTTGGTCTTCTCATTTGTTGTCTTGCAGGAGTTCTCTGAATTTCTTGTGTTTGAATTTTTACATCACTGATTAGATAAGGGAAGTCTCTTGAATGATCTCATGGAAAGTTTGTTCCAATGTGGTCTCTGTCTCTTTGTGCCTCAGGGAGTCTGATTACTCTTAGGTTAGGCCTCTTGAGGTAATCGCTCATCTCTTGAAGGTTTTGTTTGGTCTTTTTGAGCTTATGTTCTGTGTTTTTAAGAGTTTGGCTTATTTCTATATTTTGGTCCTCAAGCTCTGAGATTCTTTTTTCTGCTTGGATAATTCTGCTTTCCATGCTTATCAGTTTGTTATTTATTTCATTCACAGTATTCTTTATTACTGTTATCTCAGATATCAGCTCCTTCCTAGTTTTTTCTTGTGTCTCCTCAATTCTTTTTAATCTCTCCATTATTGTCTTGATATCTACGTTTGTAGTTTGAGACCCTTCATTCTGGGGGCTTTTCATTGTTTGCATTCCAAAGTCAGTTTTCTCAGTGTCTGCCCTCCCAGGGGTCTGGGAGAGACTCATACTCTTCTTTTGGTTTTTCTTCATTTCTGTAGATTTCTCTCTCTCTTCTTCTGTCCCTCCCCTTCTTTAATTCTGTTTTTGAGGGAAGGTGGGGTTGCTTTTATTTCTCTTCTGCAATGTCCTGTTCTTCCTTATGAGGGTTTTCTTACTTTTTTCACTTTCCAGGTTGGAGCATAGGCTGCAATCTGTACTTTTTGCAGTTTTGAGGTTTAATTGAGAGGGAAGCTGTGGTTCAGAATGCTGATTCTAGCATCCATGAACAGGTGTATGAGCACAATGGAACCTATTTCCCTCTGCCTTACAATCTCTCTATTCAGCAGTATGTAGTCTTATGTAGATTAAAAAAGGGGGGGTATACAAGAGGAAATAATGGAGGAAGAGGGGTCAATAGGGAGTTAGAAAGAGAGAAGAGCGAGAGGGAAAACAGATATACATACCAACTATCAGGTGAGAAAGAGACACAAGGCCGGGAAGAAGTGAAGAAAGACATGTAAGAAAGATTCCCTAAAGAGTACTGATAGCTACACAGAGACAGGTCAATAAAATCGAGAAACAGTGTAAGTCAGATGGTAAACAACTAACGTGATCAAAACCAACAGTTACAATGATAAAATCATAAGTCTCCAATTCTGGCCTCTCCCTTTTGTTTTTCATTGCAGCGTAGGGGTGCCTTGTCTCCTGTTTCACGCTACTACCTTAGGAACTGAGGTAAAGTTTGTTGATAGGCGGGTGGGGCAATTGACGTCTCTGCCGCTTGTTTGGCTCCCCCAGCTTGGGGGTCTCGTGCTGAGTGTCTCAGCCAGGGTGGGCCCGGAGTTCCAGAGCTCCAAAGCTCCAAAGGGTAGGCGGTGGGTGACAAGAGTGGCCCTAGACCCCCCACAGGGTACTTCAGTCAGGAATGGGACCGGTGTCTCTGAGGGGCGGGCACCTAGAGCCTCCGTGTGTGACTGGTGGCTTGGCGCCGGGTGCTGGCCTGGAGATGATGCAAGCGGGGAGGGTACTGGAGGGGGCTGGGACCTGAGACTCCCACACATTCAGTGGAACCACAGCAGCAGGGGGCCGCAATATCTGGCACTGTGTGGGACCGAAGGTCCCCAGGCCTGTCACCAGCACAGCTGGTGATGGTCTGGCGAATGGGGGAAGAGAAGTAATCGCCTTTTTGGGAACTCATGTTCAGAGAATCTCACCAGTTCACCTATGCCATCGCCATCTTGTTCCCGTCTCCTGGTAGTTTTCAATGTGAAGATCTTAAGCAAATTTTGTTAAATTTAATTCTAAGTATTTTAAAACTATTTTAAAGGAATTTTTTCTGTATTTATTTTTGAATAGTGTGTGTGTGTGTGTGTGTGTGTGTGTGTGTGTGTGTGTGTAAATG